CGAGTTGAACAAGTACAACAGCATGCAGTACGACCACGACCAGCAGCCGCCCAAGATCAAGGCATGCAATTTCGTGGTGTACTAGCCCGATCTCACAGGCACGAAGCCTCTGGAGTACACCATCCACAAGGACGGGGACAGCGGAGAGCCCTGCATCATCAGGTTTCACGCTGGGCCGCCGTACAAGGACATCGCCTTCAGGACCGTGAACAAGGAGTGGGAGTACTCGCGCAAGGCGGGATTCAGCCATTCAGGTGCACCTTCGAGAGCTGCATCTTGAACCTGAATTTTAACTTCAAGCACTTCTTTTACTACAAGCGAAGAGAGTGAATCTTCCTTTACTGAATTCTTCATGCTCCAAAATTGATCGCATATATATTTGAGTGAAAAATATATGTTTATTTTTTTAATCTGGTCCGAGCCAAGGAAGGCGTGGATCAAGTGCATTTGGCGCTGCTCACCAAGGTTTCTACGTTGTCCCCCCTTTTCGAAAAAAAAACCCCCAAGGTTTCTACGTCTGAGTGATCGGTAGATTGCGATTAGCGATCGATGCACCACTGCTGAGTTCACTTTGTATGACTGGGATATGGATTCTGTAGCGATATTCTCTTTGTCTCTCATTATTTACTTGGTGTGTCGATTGAAATTTAATTTCCGTTAAGTATTGTGTGTTGCTCCATTGACTCATGAAGCAGAACTTTGTATCATGCACGTCACTCACTCTTCTGATGTTTATCTTCATATCCATTTACATGTTTCTAAAGAATCTAGATCATCTCTCCATATACTAAAACTTTCAAATATTGCTTTAGAAGCTCAACTAAATCGGAGACATGTGTTTTTCATACTTGCTTTGGAAATGAATAAAATAAGCAATCCGCGGAACATCAGCATTGGTTTTTTCATGTTTTTTTATTATCTTTTCTACTCACTCATGAATCCTAACACATGTTAGATGTTTGAACGGTTTGGACTTCAGAATATTCAGATACGAGTTTAGTGCTTATACAAGTTGTATTTTCGATTATCTCATCATATTTATATTGAAGATTTCTATACACTAAATATCCAATTTTTCCATAGCTCATGTTTTATAGAGAAAAATCCTCTATTTTCCGCAGCAATGCGCGGGGTATCAACTAGTTGAACCAATAGGAGAACCACGCAAATACCCATCAGCAACACCCTACACACACAAGAGCAAATACTTGCACCCAACGCGGGCAAGAACCCCCTTGAACTCGTTACTTGCAAGGGACAAATCTGATAATAGTAGATAGATAAATTACAAAGTAAAATAAAAGAAGTAACATTGCAGCTAGGTAAATTTGGTTTTAGTAATATGATTAAAGTAGACCCCGGGCCATAGTTTTTCATCAGAGGCTTCTGTCTCATAAATATAACATAAGGTGGATAGACAAATTACTGTTGGACAATTGATAGAAAAGCGCATAGTTATGATGCTATTCATGGCAATGATCATGTATATAGGCATTAGGTCCGTGACAAGTAAACCGACTCCTGCCTGCATCTACTACTATTACTCCACTCATCGACCGCTATCCAACATGCATCTAGAGTATTAAGTTCATGACAAACAGAGTAATGCTTTAAGCAAGATGACATAATGTAGATAGAATAAAACCAAGCAATATGATTGAATCCCATCGTTTACACTTAGTGGCAACAATACAAATACGTGCCTCTCTATCCTTTCTGTCACAAGGTGAGGACACTGCAATATTGAACCCACTACAAAACACCTTCCCCACTGAAGATAAATCAATCTAGTTGGCCAAACTAAACAGATAGACCGGAGAGAAATACAAAGCTATAGCACTCATGCATAATAAAGTTCAGAAAAGACTCAATTATTTTCAATGAATAATCTGATTATAAACCCACAATTCATTAGATCCCAATAAACACACCGCAAAAAGAGTATTACATCGGATAGATCTCCATGAAGATCATGGAGAACATTGTATTGAAGATCGGAGAGAAAGAAGAAACCATCTAGCTAATCACTATGGACATGTAGGTTTGTAGTAGACTACTCATGCATCATCGGAAGGGTAGTAAGGTTGATGTAGAAGCCCTCCGTGATAGATTACCCCTTCGGCAGAGTACCGAAAAAGGCCTCCAGATGGGATCGTGGAATAACAAAGACTTGTGGCAGCGAAAAAAGTGTCTCAGGGCTCCCTCTGTTGGTTTGAGGATTTATGGGAATTTATGGAAGTGGAATTAGGTCAAACGGAGCTGCGTGGGACCCATGAGCTCAGGTGGCGCCCCCCCCCCCGGGGGGGGGGGCACCATGTGACCTCATGGCTCTCCCGTGGATGTTCTGGCCTCCTCCCGAACATTCTAGGGTCTCTTCTGGTCCAGAAAAAAATACCGTAAAGTTTCATAGTGTTTGGACTTCGTTTGGTACTGATTATCTAAAAAACAAAAACATGCAGAAAACAACAACTGATACTGGGCACTAGGTTAATAGGTTAGTTCATAAAAATGATATAAAATTGCAGATAAAGTATCTAAAATTGATAATATAATTGCATGAAACAATAAAAAATTATAGATACGTTGAAGACATATCACATGGTCTATGTGTTTTCGTTGGCAGCATATCGACATGAATGATAAAGACAATGATGAAGAAAATATGAGTGATAAAGACAGGGATGACAAGGACATGGGTGATAGAGGTAAGGAAGGCAAAGACATGGATGATAAGGACAATGAGGATGTAGGCATGGGCAACAGACGAATGTATGCTAAAGGCATGGATGATGTAAGCAAGGATGGCAACATGAGGAGCTGGAGGAAGCGGACAAGGAGGAGGAGGAGGAGGAGATGGTGGAGATGGAGGTTGCATACGCGGCGGCGACAACACCGTGAGCATGGAGGAGGGTCGGATTGCTGTCTAGCATGGTAAAAAATCTCATTTTTTGCACGGACTACCAGACGGATATTCTTTTGTCATCGGGCGTGTAAAAACTTAATCATACTTGCCTCTTTTTTTGGATGTGATCCGACATGTGATCCGGCGCTGGTGTCATCTGGTGCGCGCTATTGATCGGACTTTTATTTGAATTTCAAATTGCCCTATACTAACGGACATATACATGATATCATTGGATGTCGACCCCCGGTATCAGTGTCCACAGACTGGTCCCCTTGTCCGCGGACAAATGTCGGAGCAAATTTGCAGGTCAGCATTGGAGATACCCTAAGAGAGTATCTCTACCTTGCAACATCCATAGTGGATTTTAAATGCAAACACATTTAATTTATGACATGTTCAACTTTTATATTAATTGTTCTTGATTTATTTGTTTCAACATAAATCCTTGCATGGTTTAAATCTTACGGTTGAATTTGCGTATAACATTTAGAAATCAAATATCAAATTCCGCTGCAACGCGCGGGACATCGTCTAATTAATATAGTTTTGATCTCTTTAGCTAGAGCCTATTGGCCGTAGTTAGGTGTTTATCTTAGAGTTAATTAGTTTTGGAAAAACATAGTTAATTACGTGGATTAGTCAATATTGATGTGTACTACAATTGTGCTGATCCTCGCCCTCTGTTCACAATTATAAAATGTCCTAACTATTTTTAATCAAACACATAGATATGTTTTAATGCGTCTGTTCACTTACTTTTGTCGGCATATGTACATATGAAAATATCCAAAATATTTAATACTTATGAACGGAGAAATACCAAGTATGGCTTCTATGTTGAGATTGAAGAGTCATCAGAAGTAGTCCCTCGAGACAAACACTTTCCACGCAGCCGCCACTCCCTCCTAAAAAAAACAACTAGTGGTTGTGCCTCTCGCCAGCTCCGTCGTAGGTCCGCCTCATCTCCGGTGGCCCTAGGGCCATGGGGCGCGGTGCATCCTTGCAAGGGCCAGCGGGAGGGCTCGGTCGTTAGTCGTTCCTTTGACATTTGTTAGGGTTTGTGTCCTGCTCAGAAAGGTGATACGGCGGCGCCTCTCTGAAGATGGAACAAAGATCTCCCCACCTAGCACCTGTTTCGGTGGTGCGTCTAATATCGTTGGTGGGCGTGTGGAGGTGTGTTCGACGAATCTATCCTCGATGGATTTACTCAGATCTGGCTGTTGTTCATCTATGTTCATGTGTCTTTGGATTGGATACTTTCGATCTACGTTATTCTTCATCGAAGGCGGTTGCTGTTTTGGTGCGCTGGTCCTATTGGGCCTTAGCACAACGACTTTTTGACTGTCTACTAAAACAAGTTGTGCCCTACTTGGGCGAGCGAAGGGCGATGACGGCGGTGCGTCTTCAGCTCGTTTCAGTGCTTGTAGTCGTCAATTGGTGGTCTATGGATCTGGATGTAATTTTTATTATGCCTGATGTTCATTATAGTGCCATGATTGAAGATGAATAGATCAGAAGTTTTCTAAAAAAAAGAGATTGAAGAGTAGCACAAATGTTAAGCA